TCCGGCACACAGGCTGCCAGGGGCTCTGTGCAGCGAGGGAGACGCTCTGGTCCCCTCTCTGCCTGCTGCATATGGCAAAGCAACACAGCTGTAGTCCCACAACCCGCCCCCATGGGACCACTGCTGTCCCCCGAAACATGGCCTTTGCAATACAAACCTGTCCAGGAGACAGGCTGCCTCAAAACAGGCATGCGAGAGCTTGTGGGTGCAGGGGTTGCACCGGGATGCTTTCCATTCACACCTCCACGTGCCACAAAAAGAGTTCGGGTCCAGCACCCCGAAACCCCCCCGACAAGCTCAGAAGCAGCCTGGGCTGCGTGCGCTCAGCGGAAACGGGCTCTGCTTTCTTACAAGACTTGCACCCAAAGCCTGACGGCCAAGAAGCAGTAGCAGCCCCTGGCTACATGCAGATGTTGCTTCATGTCGCTCCCTGCCCGGGTTTTGCCAGCCTGGTGCATCTGCCCAGGGAAGGCGTCTCACGGCGGGTGTTAGCAGGCCAGCTGGGCCTGGAAAAGCAGCCCGGCCGCACCCTGCAAAGAGATCACAGGGCACTTGGCTTCCCAGCACATCTCATACTCTAATTAATAATTAACCTCCCAGCTTGACTCCAAGTCCCAGCTATCACCCTGCCATCTGCACGCATGCCCCCCAGGCAACCCCCACCCAGCCCTCCCTGCACGGCCCTGACTTTCCCTGCTGATAATCGGTCGTGTTCACAACGCAGCATGCAAGCTCCAAGCCTTACCCGGCCTGGCACCTATGCCTGGCACAGAGCGGGCACCCTGGCTGCACGTCCTCTGGGTGCAGCATTGCAGCTCCCCAGGGCCGGCCCCATGCAGCAGGTCCCCACCTGCCAGGGCCTGGGCTCCAGCTGCTCCCTGACCAAGTTCCAACAAAGCAAACCGGAGTCTCCAAAGAAGAGGACTTTAATCAAAACGGGGGAGAGTGTGCAGGACAGTAAAAACAGTATAAATAACAAGCTGGCTTTTCCAAGCCTTCCTGGCCTTGAAAGAGAGCTGCAGGTGTGCTGCAGCACATGGCACTAGCACCAGGTGCCCCGCAGGGAGGCTGCCCCCGGCCTCGCGGCCTCCACTTCCCTCCCAGCAGGGTCAGGGGTTTGCATGGATCTCCCCCGCAGTGCGCAAAGCACCCATGGTTTGCAGCAGGGCTAAGCCAGGATGCCCCCAGCCCCGGGTGACTTACTGCTCCGTATCCCTTCCCCTGCCCCGGGCTGACATGCGCCCGGCTGGGAGCATTGTGGAGGGGGCAGGCAGCCAGGGCAGCATGGGGTGCAGAGCGCAGTGCAGCACATCTGCGTGAGCCCAGCAGCGGGACAGCTCGGCGCATCGCTCCCCTGCCATCCTTTGCAACACACCTGAGCTTGGCACGGTGCCGCTGCTCCAGGTACCCCCTGCCTGAGCTCCTTCCCATCCCCATGTGCTGGGGGGGACCGAGCCTGTTGAACCCCTGTGCACCCGGGGTGGATTTTCCCTCAGCAGTTGAGCCAGCTCAATCAGGGCTTCCGGCTGCAGCAGAGGGGCTCGCCGGGCTGGTGCCCCATGTCCAGACCCAGGCATGCCCCGGAGGCACGGGACGCAGGCGTGGACAGCGAGCCCCAACAGCCAGACCGCTTGCAGGGGGTTGCTCTCAGGCGGCCACAGCCCCCTTCCCACCAACCCCACGGGGAAGCCGGGGCCCAGCCAGGACAGTCCGAGCTCAGATCCCCTGGGCCAGTCTCGGACTTTTCTGCCCGAGGTCAGCCTCGTGCCACGTCTGCAGAGAGTCTGCTCCGCGGCCTGGCCCCTGGGGGTCCGGGACCGTGCGGGCGGGCGCCGGAGCCTGGATCGTGCTCAGCAGCTGCGGCTGCTCCTCGGCCCCCAGACCGGCTCGCAGGGACGATAGCCCCGGCTCTCTATTTTTAGCTTGTGCTTTTAAAAAGGCCAGCTCCTCTCGGGGCGGCTGCGTCCAGTGCTCGAGTCCCTCGAGTCCAGGGCTCTGCCATCCAGGCAGGAGGCAAGGAGCCGCGGGAAGAGCTGCAATTCAAAGCCCCCCCCTTGTTTCCAGGGGAGCCCTGCCAGACCCACGCAGGAGACCGAACACCCCCGGTCCGGGGCCTCGGGGAGATGCTATACGTTGGAGACCTTCTGGGGCTCCCGGGCCTGCCGCAGCCCGTACAGCCACTTGATGACGCGGGCGTTGCGCTCGACGACGGAGATGCCGTAGGGGATGCGCTCGGGCGGCTTCTCCTCCAGCGTGGCGGCGCTGCGCTGCGAGCGGGCGCCCTCCGAGCTGGCCGTGCTCACGCTGTGGAACTTGACGGACACGATGTCGGAGCTGGCGCGGGCGAAGTGCTCCACCCCCATGTCCCGCACGTCCTCGGGGTCCAGCCCGCAGTAGTTGAAGAAGCGCTCCAGGTCGGCCGTGGCCCGCGAGTACCGGTCGCTCAGGTCCGACTTGGAGCGGTGCAGCAGCGTTTGCCGCCGGGCGCCGTCCGCCCGCCCGTCCTGGGGGCTCGGCAAGCCCAGCGGGCTGGCAGGAGGGACCCGGGCCTTGGCGGGCGATGCGGGTGCCGGGGTCACCGGGACGGCCGGAGCCCCCCGGGCTCGCAGGGCCCCGCAAGGCCGGACGTCCACGCGGCGCACGGCCACCGTGCTGGAGGGCTTGGAGGCGCCGGAGCTCTCCGACAGTTTGCTCATGCCCTCCGTCGGGGCCTTGCCGCGCGGCGTGCCCGGGGGCTCGGGCGTCTCCGCCTTCCACTTGCGCTCCATGCCCAGGGGGCTCTCGGGCTTGGGGAAGGGCAAGGGGCTGTCGCAGAGGTTGATGAGGTTGTTGAGGATCTCCAGGTTCAGGGAGGGCTTGGGCCCGCAGGCCTCCACCCGGCGCCCCCCCGGCGGGGTCCGGCGGCTCGGGGTGAGCATGGCCTTCCGCACGCCGGGCGCGAAGAGCGGCTGCTTGAGCACCAGCGGCTTCACCGGCTCCTGCCTGGTGCTGGCTACCTGCTGGCTCTTGACGTACTTGGCCTTGTCGGCCTCCAGCCGCTCCACCGCGCTGGGCTTGCGGGCGCCGGTCTCCGCCTGCCGCCGAAAGTACTCGGGGCCCTTGTTGAGGATGCGGAAGGGCATGGCCGAGGTGAAGGGCGCCGTGCTCGACACCCCCTTCATCGCGTGGCCGGCCTGCAGGGTCTCCACGGGCATGCCGCCCCGGGGCCCCGCGCCCGTCGGCCGCC